TCTAATACTTTTGCCTTCCTGTCTAATACTTTCTCTTGCTGCAGGAACTTCAGTAATTTCTGTAGTTCTTGATTCATAGCTAGCAGTAGCAGCTATTACACGCAGAGCAGTACTAGTGATAATACTAGCAAAAGTATTTTTAGTTTTTAGAACTCTTTTTGCGTATTTAGACATAATTGCTTAGAATTAAAGGTAATTAGAATGAATACGAATAAAATGAATATATAAGAATTATAACGAAATTAATAAAATAAGTAAAGTGCGAATAAATTATGATTAAGATAAATTACAAAATTAGAAATATAAAGATAAGAATAAAAATATAAAAAATGAAATAGATTATGAACGATTAAGCAAAATTTAAATTTTTATAAATAGTTTAAAAATTTATGTAAATTGAAAAGTAATAATTTGAAGAAAGATTTGTGAATTTGAAAAAAATATTTATGAAAAGAAGAAAAATTCACTTATTTATAATTTTTATACTTTATGATTTTTTTAAAGCTTTATTCTATATAATCAAAGTTTATTAGTATAATATTTTAGTTATTTAATTAATGCAAGTTAATTTTAATATTTGTTATAATAGCCTTCATTTTATTTATACTTATATTAAAATGTATTTCTTAAAAAATTTTAAATTATTCAAATACATTCACTAAAAATAAAATATCAAAAAATTTCTAATAAAATTATGAACTAATACAAATAAATTAAATTCTTTTAAACTATAATATAATCATTTTTAATAATACTTAATTTTAATAAATTAACTAATTTGGGTTTAAAATTTTTTTATTGTTAAATTATTCTGTTTTGAAAAAGTATGAACTTATAGTAAAATTTAATTTATTAGAATATATTTGCATATAATGCATAATACAAATATTCGTAAATTCTATTTCAATAAAGATACAAAATTATACAAATAATTCTGACTAAATTTAATTATTTTAAATAATACTTCAAATTTAAAATATTACTATTTAGAGTTTAAAATTTTTTATTATCAAATTAATCTGTGTTAAAAACAAATATTAAACAATTATAGTAAATTTTTAATTTATTTAAATAAAACT